GCCTGTTCCTGGCAGTGAAGGTGGTGCTGATCCCGGCCCGCCTTTACCGTCATTCGAACGACCACCAGGTGGACCGACAACAAGTGCCGTACCCTCCTCTTCATCACCAAAACCACAGCCGACACCGCACCACAACACGCAGAGGGCACACACCAGCAGCACACGGCCAGTCATCATCATCGCCATCACTCCTGTCAGTTACGTGTAGCTTTCAGCAGAAACTAAAAACACGTCAACGCAAGGCAAGAATAAATACAAGGAGAGAGAAAAAAAAAACAGTAAAAAACACCGGCTGCAGCACGCATTTCATGAGAAACATTAAATCAATAAAAGTTAAGAAACGCACAACGCCCTGTAATAATTTAGCAACAACAAGAACACAAAAACAAGGAAAAACAAAACAAAAGTAAAAAATCAGCAGTAAGAAAAACAGTAAAAAAACACAGAATACAAAAATGCACCCAAATGGCTCCAGTGCGCATGCACCAGCACAAAAATGCATCTACAGAAACAGTTGTATGCGTTTCGTGCATGTGAGTGTCTCTGGAATGCGTTCAACGTGACGGATACAGGGAGCAGCAACATGGACCACACAGCAGGGCAGTGGAAGCAAACAAAGCAAAGCACAATCATCATAATTACTCTTACTTTATACATCGGAACACAGTGGAAGCGCACAAGTCCCCGTGATTGGGTGCTGGCACGCACAGCCAACGCTCCCTTTTAGCCCAGAGCAGTGTACGCCAGCGCGGATGCGGCAAGCAGCAGCGGGGCACACACCCACGCAGAGCTGCTGAGGCTGCCGTCGATTTCGCGCAGACGTGACGGTGCGCGGGTGGTCTTCGTGGTTGACGCCTCTGTAGTCGTAGTACTTGGTGCCTTTGTTGTAGTGTTTGTTTTGTTTGGCATTTTCATCTCTTCTGATGTCGGTGCCTTATGATTCTCATCACCTTGTGTATTTTACTGCGCCTTTTATTTTGTGCATCTGACATACCGGTCGCACCTTGTGTGTGTGTGTGCGGAGACTGAGTTGCCAAACCTGCTGGCTCTGAATTATCGCTAGCCGAACTCAGTGTCTCTGGCGGAACTCGTGTCTGTCCATTGATGGCTGTACCTGCTTCCTTTGGAAAGAAGGTCCTTGACTTCTCAAACCCTCCTCACTGTCTCTCCCACTCTCTGTCTGTGGCCCACCGGTCTCCCCACCATATGGCTGTAATGCACTAGGCATATTCTTGTAGGATACGGTTTCCCTAGCTCAGGGCTGGGAGGACGGCTGTTATCACTATTATCGTCTCCTGTCGCCGTCACGCACACGGACGAGCAGCAGCAGCAGCACGAGAGCGCAAGGACCAACACGGCGCCGCACCGTCACCATCGCAGTCATCATCGCCCGTAGTGGAGTCGCTGGTGTCAGTCAGCCGATCGGTGAGACGGAAAGGAAAATAATGGAACGAGAGGGAGAGGGACGAAGCACAGCGGATACAGCGAGAGAGAGCAGACAACATGAGGAGAGGGCAGCAGGCCCAGCCGCACAGTTCACACACCACGAGACGGCATCCACGCAAGGAAGGCACACAACGCCAGCAGCCACCCACCATGCAGGAGGAGAGGACATCCACCACCATCTCCCCCAGCTCATTCCCGCAGCCCCAGGGAAGTGGCCACAACCCCGCGGCCACCACACAACGCACACGGAGCAAGCGAACCCTCATCCATCCATGACGCGGCACAAATTTCCTGCCATCCCGCCCTCAATGGGACATGGAGCCCAACTCAGCGCAGTCACACGCGGTGCATCAAACCCACAGGAAAATAGACTCGGGGTGCGCGCTCCCTCTCTCCCTGCTCCTCATGGCCACGGAAGAAGACAACAGCCGCCACACGCAACTGCCAGCATGCACTACAAAAGGAGCATTCAAATCCACTGCAATGTGCATCTTGTGTGTGTGTGTGTGTGTGGTTGTGTGTGCCTGCAGAAACACAAAGCAAAGACGTAGAAAAGAGGGAGCAGAGTATGCGGAGTGACGCACAAAATGTACGGCGGAGACGCATGACGGAAACAGCAAGAAGAAGACCGCTCAAACTCATGATTGCACTGCAGCCCAAGCAGTGGCAATTCACACAATATTTATTTAAAACAAAAAAACGTCCCCTTCGTCTTATACAAACCCCATCACACAAAATAATTATAAATGAAAAAGAAATCGTCCATTACTGTTCCACATAAAATAAGAAAAAGGTCGATTGGCTGCCGTATGGCCACACCAAACTGTCTGTATTTATTTTGCCCACAAAAGAAAACAAAACAAGAGGGAAAGAAATGTGTGCTCCGCCCCACAGGCCCTCGCCGCACGCCCACACGTCACGGCTCCCTCAGCGCGCCGTTCGTCGCGGCCCCTCCTCATGCGTGCAGCAGGCGAGGCGCACAGGGCCGTCGTCATGAGCGTGTCGGTGGGTGTGCGAGTGGAGCAGTTGGGCGGGAAACACACGGCACCCCTCACAGGAAGAGTGCAGAAGAAACAATTAAAAGAGGGAAGAGTAGAAAAGAAAAAACGTCCACAGTGATTGCCCCAAAAGCAAAAAAAAAAAAAAAATAGGAATGGGGGTGTGAGAGATTAAAGAAAAAAATGAAAAAAGTAAAAAAAGAAGCAAACAGCAAAAAGAAATTTAAATACTCACAAAAAAAAAAAAAAAAGATTTTATGAAATAAATTTGTTCCTATGGGAATATTATTTTTGTGCTCGGGAGGGCGCAAGTGTCCCACGCGGCAGCCGGTCACTCCTCACAGAGCCGAAAACACCCACAGTCCCAACAGAAGAAGCAACGGCAGCAGTCCGCTCCCACGCACAGTGCCGCCATCACCCGTTGCTTCTCCAACGGCATGGGAGCTCGAAGCTGCCGGCACTTGCTGTTCTTCACTTTTCTTTCGAGACTGCTGCGAGGCCGCTTGTTCCACTGGAGCCTCAGAGGGTGGTGCAATATCTTCTTCCAAATCGGCACTCCCACCAGTAAATGTCAACGGACGGTTGTACAATAGGACGTTCGACACGGTCACAGACACATCTTCGTCACCCGCTGTGTTCTCTGCATTGACTCCATCCCCTCCAATGTAGAAGTGAGAAATCCCTTTCGATTCTGTATTTTCCAAGTTATTTTGCACACTCTCACACACACGCTGACCATCGACGTACACGGAGCCCTGGGCGCCGTTCTGTAACACAATGGCCACTTGGTACGTTTTCTCTGCCTCCCAAGTGCTGCTGTGCTCCGCGGTTGTTCTGTCACCGCACAGCGCCCGCCACTTCTTTCCGCTGCCGTACGACAACTCCACAAGTTTGGTTACTCCGTCACTGCCCGCACGCACACCCATCAAAGGGACGCTGCCACTCTTCGGCTCACCGTGTATGGACACCGTCGCCACAAGAGTGAAGTTGTAGTTCGCAAAGTGGTACAGCTGATTCTCCCCCTGCTTGCCAACGGGCCACTCCGCCCCTGCACCACGTCCTTTAAATGTCACGCCATCGGAAGGCTCTGTCTTTTTTGCAGGACCAGTTACTGTGGCGTACACCCCGAG